ACCACATCCATTCTTAATTTAGCACACTTCAAAATCTGTTTTGGTAAATTAAAAACATGTTTTCTCATAAGAAGTATTTTTGACACATATTTTTCATTGTGTAAGTTGTGAGATGAAATCCTACAGTATCTACCCACTCTAGTCTGGTGCTCATTCTTGCATTTAATGACTTGTGCATTTTCTCTGCAGACTATAAATAAGAAATAGATTCTGCAAATCCCAAGCAGGAAGAGTACTTTCTCTTTCATTTACTGTTATGAACAATTTCCTTTGCCTTTTATTATTTTGCAACAGATTTAGTTGCTGTGAAACATTTCCATGTGGCCAAAACGCGACTTAATACTGAATGTTTTATTCAACTATCCACAAAAGCTCCTCAATTCCTTGTTACAATATCTGACATTTGTTTAAATTAACATCACAAATCGTACTAAGCTCTCCTTCTGCACAAGCAGATACAGGTAATACTTGACTTATAACCATTTGTTTAAGTTACCATTCTAAGTTACGATAGCACTGAAAAAGTGTCCTATGACCAGTTCTCACACTTATGACCATTGCAGCACCCCCACACTTACATGATCAAACTTCAGGTGCTAGGCAACTGTCATATATTTATGATGGTTGCAGCATCAGAGTGCTGGGATTGTCATTCGCAACTTTCCCAGGGAGTTTTTGACAAGCAAAGTCAATAGGGAAGCCAGATTCATTTAACAACCACATGATTCACTTAATAACTATAGTGATTTGCTTAACGACCATGGCAAACAATAATAAAATGGGGCATGCCTTACTTAACAACTGCCTAGCTCAGCAATTGAAATTATGGGCTAAATTGTGGCCATAAGACAAGGACTACCTGCATGGTTATCATGACAAATATACAGATTCAAATATGATCATTATTTAAAAATAAGGGTTTTCCATTCTTTTCAGTAAGTTGAAACATTTACATGACCTAAAGAGAAATCGGACTAATAAAGCCTTGCATTGTTTTGATTCTTTCTGTAAATGTTATTTATAATAAATAAAAATGATAAAATAAAGAAAATTATTTTAAACAATATTAAATTTGTCTGTTTTATATTTTCCCAAGCCTTTTGCTTCTCCTTTAGGTTTGAACCTATTGATAACCCATGAAGCTCTGTTGAAAAACAGTTTTAATTAATACATTATTTCAAGTACCGGATTTACCTTTGTTTGGCATTTTATATTCACAGATAGTTCCTTTCCAGCAATTTCAATTCATAGGAACTAGAAATACCCACTAACTGCATTAGAATTCTTGTTGAGCTTGAAAAATGTATTTGGACATATGCACACCATTTGTAGAAAAGCCTTAAACCACATGCAGATTTTTCCAGGTTCTTGTGGCAGTTGTAGAAGGCAAGCACATAAGTCCAGTCCCACATGTTTCATGTGCCCTGAATCTTACGCTGCTCTTCAATACTAGATTGCTCCTCTAAAACATATACATTTAATATAATTAATTCTAATATAATTTTGTATTCACAACTTCCGGAATAAAACTGGTTTTGTATAGAGTCTCCAAATGTATTCTGTTGTGTATATAATTTACTCAAATAGTGGTGTTTCAAGCCTCAAAAGAAGAAGATAAGTGCTGTGGACTTCCTTGCTATCAATTCCATTACGGATGATTTTGTGTGGTCAGAATCTGATCAGGTTAATTGTGTAAAACCTGTTCTTTTTTATCTTCCTATGAATATAAATGAGTTCTCAATAATTCCAATACGGTGGCAAAATATCTGAGACCACAACATTATTTTTTTTCCTCCCTCTAGATTAAAAGAGGCTTGGGTTGACTGTGTTAGTTTGTGGATAACAGCCAAAATATAAGAGGACCTCATAATAAATAGCTTTATAAGGAAAAAATATCAAAATTTCCACTACTCATGATCAGCCACTATCATTGTGGTGAAAATCAGTGCAATTAATTTTTTTCTGGATTTCTAAATTCTACAGGCCTTTCTCTTAGTATGCTTCATGCGAGTGGAATTCTAGGTTTTGAACTACTGCAAACAACTCTTAATCTTCTGGATCAAGTTATATTGGTAATCAATTTGCCAGTGCATTGTAGTGTGAATCTACACCACAAAGTCCACCATTACATTTATCTGAGTGATAGTTTAGCATGGCCTTTAAATAAATACTGAAAGCCCAGCAATGTCTGCAATGAAAACATAAGTTCAAAAAACTGCACTTAGCACACTGTAGTGGAAATGCACCCTACTGATCACTAAATGGAAATACTCACAGTAAATACAATCCCTGAAGATAAAATGGTTTTAGTCCAATACTTTAAACCCCTTTAAAGGAAGCCCTACCACCTCTGATTTGTATGGATGGCTTGTTTTTCAGGTTATTCCCCACAGGTAACAATATGAATATTTCTTTTCCCTCAGAACTGAGAAAAGGAAAATTGATAGCTGTAATGGAACTGTGGGAGCAGTCAAGCAGTAGATTGATTCAACTGGAGAAATTCAATGCAGTCCAACAGATTCCCTAGGATTTGGTACCCTGCTGCTTCAGGCGCAACTTCTTGTAATGAGAAGCAGAAGACTTTTTGTCAGAAGCGTCAAAGCTTGTACTGAAGCCTTGAAGGTAAAAAAAAAAACCCCACCTTCAAATAACAAGACCTTAAACTGAAAATATCTCTCCTCAGAAAATGCTTTTGCACATAGAAAGACTACAACGCCCAGTTCAAGGTAGAAGAGAGGTCTAAAGCCAGCAACCTTCGATGAAGAAGATACAATTGTATGTATCTCTACTGTGGGGGGAAAAACAACAGGACCAAGGGCAACAACTTGGCTATAATAAATATGACACACAAGAAAAAAAAGCGGAGAAATGATTTGATAAACTTATAATTGCTTTCTGCTGCAACTCTTTTGTACCTATATGGTATTTTTGACCAATTTTTGAATGTTATAGAAGCATAGCTGAAAAGGTATAGCAAGTAATTAAAACAGAAAGGTCATTTTTGATGAGAGAGATTAGAGAAAATTGTAGAGACAAAGCCTATCGATAATTCTTGTCAGGATGTCTACAGACAATGCTTCTCTAAGAGGCAATTCCAATTGGGAGCATTCATCTGCTACTTTGGGTCCTCCACTGGATCCTAATTATTGGCTACAGAAACAGAACGTTAAACTTGAGAGGCTTCTGCCTAGCAGGACAATCACATTATTTTCACCAATTTTGTAGAAAAGCATGGTTTACTTAAAACAACAACAAAAACAATGAAAATATGAGGCATACTTTTCATGGATGTTTAAATAATAAAGTATCTTTCAATAAAATGATTATAAAGGCCAATATTTTGAAATTAGGAAATTACTAACGTTTTGTTTAATTGCATAATGTAGTTTTGTTGACAAATCAGACTGTGCTTCGTTTTTAATTATTAAGTGCCTAAGGGGCAATTTTGCCATTGATCTACTCTTTGCTTAAATTAGTATCTTAAACTGGACAATCTTCATCTGTCTGGAGTCTAGAGCAGGGGTGTCAAACTGGTGGGCTGTGGGCTGGATGCATCACCAACAGGCCACACCAACCCCGTTTCCATAAAGGCAAAAAACCTCGCAATGCATCCTGTGACATGATCGAGTTTGGCACCCATGCTGTAGAGGGTTGAGATTTTTATGTCATTGCCCTTCATAAGTAATAAGTACCTGAAATTAAATTAAAAGGATTCAAATAATGCAGTACATTCATACATTTAAAGTAATTTTCCAGAACATGAATATTCAGTAAAATATGGGTCTGTAATTAAAAAAATGAAAGCACGTGACTTAGATAATTGGAAACAGAATAGCAATTAAAATTCACTCTGTGAAATGCTTCTTTATCAGAACCAAATTCCGCTGAATGGTAAAAAGTGCCTGTTTTTATTGTGTAAATAGATAAGAAGAGATACAATGCCACTAGTAGTATTTGAAGATACTATTAGTGAGGCTGCCCACCATTATTTTCTTTTTTTAAAAACTGTATTTCTGTGACCCAAAGGAAAGAAAAGGAGAGAAATAATACAAAGTTAGAGATCTTCTTTGATCACCCTGCTCTTTCACCCTTGCAGCTATACCATCTATAACTTATCTCTGTTTCAAAGGAAGAAGCTCTCTTTTGTTCAAAGTCTGAGAATCAAAATTAATTAGTGACAGGTTAAAAACATGGAGTCACCAAAAGGAAGAAATGGAGTCACCGAAGACAGGATGCTATTCTCTTAACAGGTACTTGGGAGGCTTTGAAAAGTAAAATGGGGGACCTAATGCAAAACATTCCAGAACTTTCCAAGGAAATGCCATAAAAAGAATAACCAGTCTTCCCATTTCAAGTATGGTGGGTTTTAGCCTCAGGAAAAGTTGAAGTGGCAAGTCTATTGTTCAATCAGTTGGAAAGTTGGATGTGTCAATGAGAAAGAAGACATCATCACTTATTGATCAGCTAATCTTACATCAAAGAAGGATGAATAAGTGTAAATTACTTGCAAATAACTTCATTGTTTCCTCTATCAGTGTGGTAATTCCTATCCTATGTGTATGTAAAGAGCCAGAGAAAATGGCAATTCCTTAAGACTGGTGTACATTTGCATATAAATCGATACAAGCAGCTGAAGAGCTGAATGGATAAGGAAAAAAAATATACACAGCAGAGCATGCTGTAATGATCAAGGAACTTGGGGGGCCTGGAGGGTAGTGGTGAAAAGAAATTGGTTTTCTTACTCTGTATAATGTAATTGTCAATAAATATAAAACAGTTTCTTTTGCCCTACATCTGTAAAATAATTTATTCTCTGTTTTCAGAGTGAAAAAGGTATCTGTACAAATGGCCTTATTATATCTGCAAAATAGTTTCTTGCAGCTTCTATGGGAAAACTATCACCACCTTGTACCAACACAACACAGAAAATATACATTGTGTCTCACCATCTTGGGTGGAAACAGACCCATGCAATAAATCACAGTAAGGCTAGCTCTCACCTGTAGGGCTCCAAAGTTCGGTTACCATAATGCAGAGCTTCTTCCCAAAGGCCCAGGTTTATGCAGGCATCCATGGCAAGGTCAAGTAATTTTAGCTGATAGATGTTGGTGTCTGGGAGGCGAGAGGTGTTGCTCTTCAGTAACGTCTGGCAGGACAACAGAACTTGCTCCCATTCTGACATTTATTTGTGTTAAGGATTAACCCATGACAGAAGCATAAATCAAAAGGCAAAACATTAAGTTAAAACAATGCAGCTTTCTATTCTACAAAAACCCTTCCATAGAAAGCTCCACTTTTTTTAACCAACAAAACATGAAAGCAAACTACATGAATATGAATGGTGATCATATGAAACCACAACTAATTTTGTTATAGTTAATTTTCTATTAAGCATTATTTTCTTAAAATAGACAACATATTTCTCGTAACCTTTTTCTAGTTTAAAACTCATCATATAAATTAAAAGAAATATTTTTTCAATCTAACAATTTTGGCAAAAGGAATTCTTCCCTGATGAAAATTACACATTCAGGGATGGGAGAGGAATGCAATACATGGGGGAAGGAAAAAGGGACTCTATATGATGCTCAACATTATTAAACATATCTGACAATCTTCTTTGGGATATAGCAGAGAAGACAAAATATCTCCATTTTAATATGAACTCTTTATGAGTTTTTGCTATAATTAAATTGACGTTCATAAGATACTTAGTTGACATTGATATTCCCAATTTCACATAGTTAATACCAGACAAGGGATAATCTGAATTTATACATTGATTATGTATGTTTATATGACTGCCCAATAGACATATGACTCTGGGTCGCACAATACATTGCAAATAGAGTATTCCCAAAACATGTAATCATCACACCAAGATGGACCTGCTCCATAATTTGGACTAATGCTAAATGGGGAAAGCCAGTTCTTTAATACCTTATGTATAGCTAGCTGATTAGTAACATCTGAATCTCAGGGGTGGGAATGATAGCTATTCCATAGGAATAGGAGCGGCAACAGACAACATGCTTTCTAGATCCCATTAGATGGCACAGTTTAATATAAGGGTTCAGAGAATGCCCACCCTTAATTTAAACCTAAGCCATAAGATTTTTGAGAGAAATTGATCTAAAGAAAAACAGAGAACAATATTTGATGGGATGAAGAAAAGTGATGAAAAGCCAGAAAAAAATATCTCACAGTTATTAAAGACACCAAAATAGTGTAGATGTCTAAACTTGATTTACAAACATTTTATACTGAAAATGGAATGAAATATGGTTTACCATTTTAATAGTGAAATCTCAATAAGTTAGTATTGGATTGCAATTTAGGTGGCCAAAAGATTAACTTTATTAAATATAAACCTCTCTTTCTCTCTCTCTCTCTCTCTCTGTGTGTGTTCTTTTGGCTCTTCAAACTATATTAATACTTAAATATTTGAAGTGTCTGTAACAGTGGTGGGATTCAAATTTTTCTACTACCGGTTCTGAGGGCGTGGCTTGGTAGGTATGGCAGGGGAAGGATACTGTAAAATCTCCAGTCAGAGGTGGTATTGCTGGTTCTCTGAACTACTCAAAATTTCCACTACCAGTTCTCCAGAACTGGCCAGAACCTGCTGAATAACACCTCTGGTCTATAATCTTGTTCTGCAAGGCCAAAGCAAAGTTTCTGCTGCGAAGAGCCATGTTAGCACAGTGGTTAGAATGTAGCATTGCAGACTAACTCTGCCCATAGCCAGGAGTTTGATCCTGACCAGCTCTAGGTTGACTCAGGTTTCCATCCTTCCGAGATCAGTAAAATGAGAACTCAGATTGTTGGAGGCAATATAAACCTCTTAGGGAATGCTATAAAGCACCATGAAGTGGTATATAAGCCTAAGTGATATTGCTATTGCTCCAAAACTTAAAGAAACAAAGCCTGAGGAAAAAAATTAGAAGAAAATAATTTTCTATAACCCAGACCACATTTTGATTTGATTTACCTTCTGTTTTTTCCTTTAAATATGGTTTTATTTGAAAAATACAAAATACATATTATACGCAGAAAGAGTATGAATTTAACAAAGACAAGAAAACAAGTTGATCATTATAACATCCTGATCTGAATGGAAATGTGTGTACTATGGACCAAGGATACCTTCACATGACTTTGGTGCCCCTACTGTATTTATAATTTCTTTGGCTTCTTTCCAAGCTTGCTCATCCCCTGCCAACATGTCAGCATCCTGCTTTGACCGAAATAAAAGCAAAAAACAAACAAACAAAAAGCATCTGGTTAAAAAAGAGAGAGAAACTAATAGCACTATAATGGATGTTAAGTAACATTGAATACCAGAATGTTCCATTAAAACTGAATCTGGAAGTCGAGTTTTCAATGTTTCACCTCAAGAAAATTCTAAAAATAATTTACATCCAACATTAATAACAAAACCGACATTTGGATTTCATATATTTGCATTATATGCTTACATAATAAGGAAGGTGTCAATAAATGAGCCAAAAATACAATATTCATGTTTAGAAAAGCTTATAAACTTCATTTTGGGAGGTTAAAAAAAAGGGAACAAAACTGAAGTAAAGGAAATTGAAAGGAATATGGTAAAATGGGATAAAGCTGAAAAAAGGAATAATAATATATTTCATCTTGGCTTCCCACTGACATGGAAGAAACAGGGTTTTGAAAAAAGTTTTAGATGAATAGAAGTTCTGAAGGAAAAATGAACAGTCATGGGACTGAAGAATTGGCAGATTACACTGAGATAATCTATTTGAGTCGGAGAAGCTATGAGAGATTTAAAGAAAGACCAGGATGATACTTCAGGTATTGAAACAACAATGGATATAGTAAAGACAATGCACCCCAACTAATGTATACTATGTATTGTTCTATATTGTATATATCTCTGAAACACCATTAGTCACTATCAAGAGAGGCAACTAGTTAAAAAAAAAATTAAAACCGAAGGAGAAAGTTCTTCGACAAAGCTCAGCTTTGTTTGCTTTAGCAGGGATTTTTAACTTGCTCTGCTTGTCAGCAGAAAATAATAATCCATGAATGATGATCACATGAGGTTTACAGCAGATAAAATTCTAAAAAAACACCTTCTCTGCCAGTACCATAATTTAAACAAAGGAGCTTAGGGATGGCAAACCAATTTTCATATCAATTATCATCCCAAGAGCACAAAAGTTAAGAGGTTTTAATCTGCATTTTCCACACAGTGAAGTTAATTATTGTGCATTCCAAAAAGGAGGAAATATACACCCAGAGCTCATATTAATTCCATGTGTAGCTTTAGTGCTGCCTACTATACAGGTCCAAATGGAAGAAAAATAGGTGAACTCTTAGACTATCTCAACAGCTTATTGCATTAAATGGCTTCTCAGGCTTCAATTATATTATACATAAGGAATTACAAAGAAAGTAGTGTTCCTTTTAAAATTTGCAAATGTAATTGCCAAAACATAAACAATCTGATTGCAATATGTTCACCTGGAAATAATTTTGTACAGAATGAAAGCACATAAAGGTCAGCAATGGAACAATACAGTACTTCATGCTGAAGTACTTATGTCAGTTATGTTAATCGTACAGATCCAGACATGTTAAATTTTGCATATAACAGGGATGAGTCAAGGTTGGCCGTGATCTAACTGTGCTGCTTTCAAAGGGCACAGGATTAATTACATAGATTTTGATTTAATGTGCCTTTTTTAATTTTGAGAAGATGTAGGAAATGTACTGTAATTGAAAGACTAGAAAGCCAGAACTATGTGGTGTATGATCAACCAACAAAGGGAACGAGTGGACATATCCTACAAAGTGATTCTATCATCAGTTTACTTACAGTCTATCTGAGGACAATGGAATTACCATAGTTGGGCTGTAAGATTTAGGTGGGCACTAAATAGCAACAAAAATATACTCTTTCTTTCTTTCTCTTAAAAGAAAGAGGAAGGGATGGGAGAAAAAAAGGAAGGGAGGGAAGGGAGAAAAAGGAAAGGGAAAGGAAAGTGAATGAGATATGGATGGATGGACAAATGGATAGAGGGAGAGAAAAAGGAAAGGAAGAAAGGACCACAAACCCTGGCATTAGATGCAGCTTCAGAGTATCAAGAATCTTAATTATTTCTGACAATGCAACTGATGCAAGTTTTTCACAGAAGCTGTATAGATGAAGTAGCTACATCTGTTGTCCCCTTCTCTGTATTTCCTGTACCCAGCCACATCATCTCCCCAACCAAATAATTGGAGGGGGGGAGGAGATTATGAATACAGCATCTAAGTATAGTATATAAAATCATACATTGCAATGTCCTACCTATCAATGAATACTTCAGCTTCAACCATAACAATACAAGAGCACACAATAGATACAAACTCAAGGTTAATCGCACCAAACTTACTGTGAATCAGTTATGGACTGATTCTCAAAACTCCAAAGGAAATACGACTTCAGCAACAGAGTGGTCAATGTCTGGAATACTCTACCTGACTCTGGTTTCTTCCCCAAACCCCAAAAACTTTAACCTTAGACTGTCTACTATTGACCTCATCACTTTCCTAAGAGGTCTGTAGGAGGTGTGCATAAGCGCACCAACGTGCCTACTGTCCCTGTCCTATTGTTTTTATTTTATTTTATTTTATTTTTCTTATATGTATCCAAGTATTCATAACTATGTTTTTACTTATACCTATTATCTTGTAAACAATTGACAAAAATAAATAAATAAATAAATAAACTCAGTGTGACTGGGAAACAGGTAGAGAGGTTTGCTTCCTTCCACTGTATCTGTCTGATGTTTTAAGAACAATTATATTTTAAAGCCATATTAATGTTAGACCACTAGAAAGGAGCAGAACAAGAAAGCTTTTCAGGAACTCTTTGTCCATTCATACAATTTAGAGGATGGGTGGGGTTAAGGAGAAATATAGCTGTTGTTTCCTTAGGCAGAAGCAAAAAAACTCAAGCAAACTATATCCCATCAAATGAAGAGAAAATGATATTTTATGTCAAAGATGCCAAACAATTTTTTCATTCTTAATGCCAGACTAAAAGAAATTATATTTGTAGAACATATGAGTGGCAAGTTACTTTTTCAGTTATGAAACATACATTAATATCTGATGTTTGCATTCTTACCAATGGGGAAGAAGACTCTCTACCACACATTCTGTACATACATTCTTCTTTAGCGCTTTAGGCAGTATTCCTAATTTGTACATGGTTGATTTAGGCACCATAATTTCTCTGTTTCTAGAGAAGGCCTTGTGTAATAGTCAAAAGACACCAAGCACAGAGATCAATGCAGATTTCCCATCTTGTCTATATTTTGAAAGGCCCAGGGCAAATTAGGGTACTTTACCAGACACCACTAGCAACAAGGTTATTGATTTGTTTGTTAGATTTATATATTGCCTTTCTTCTGGGAGTTTATGTTGGCTCTTACAAGGATCACTTACATTTTATTCCCACAATAACCCTTAAAATAGATTGGACTGGGAGAAAGTGACCTGATACAAATGTCAACCAGTCAGTATCCATGACTAAAAATGGTCTTGAACCTGAGTGTTCTGTCCTAGCCCAAAACTAAACACTTCACCACAATTTACCTCCTACTTCATATACCTGAGATAGCCTTTTCTCCCTGGTATTCTCAGTAGGTTTTCCCAAAACGGATTATCTTATTCAGAAAAAAAAACCACCCTCTAATATATAACTGGTGAGATTGTCAAGAAAAATTAAACATCATAATATTTCTCCATATCTGAGCTTCTCTGTAATATTAATCAGTTATAGCATTTGTTGTTCTTATTACAAGAGACTAACATGGTTCCTCCTTTATAGTGAATTTGTTGAGATAGGCATAGTGAAAGTCTAAACATTTCAAGATTCTTCTCCCAGAAGTACCCTGAAGATTCATGCTCTAATCCTATCTTCTGACTAGGTAGTTTCTGCTGCCACCACCTGTAGAATAGACGTATCTCACCTAGCATTCTTATCTAACCTTAGTGCGTGAGACACAGGACTGTCGAAATTCATATTGCTTTTCTGGTGATTGAAAAGTCAAAATGAAAAAGTTAGAATAGTTTGTATAGTGCCATTTCTTTGCCAACAAGTATGGTGAATCAATTTCAATCTCACAAGAGATAAACAAAATTAGGAAAGGTTTTAGTTCCTGCTCAAATTTTTCAAGATCAGACAAGGTTCATCTTAGCGTGTTAGACAGACTGAGTGGATCAGCCATATTTAATTAATTTAAAAGAGATGAAGGTCAACACCATGGACCTTGAACACTTGCAGAACAACCCTTAGCATGCCTCTGAAGGGTCAGATGCAGTCTTATCTGGAAAAAGGTACCATATCCATGTAGATGAGCAGTATTGCTATAAAAATCTAAATGATTGAATATGCCATTGATGATTAAAAATAGTTGAAAATATCCTTTTCTGACTACCCAGAAGCTCCAGCTAACAATTTATTTTGCTGCTAAAATTTTATCCTATTCTTATTTCCCAAGAAAAATGCATATACTTCAACCCTTCCATAATGCAGCATGCAATTGAAGCAACAGGGTTAGCATTAAGTGGCTAGTTTCATTCATAAGCACAGCAAAGAACCACTGTCACTTCAATTCTATATCTATAAAGCAACCACAGGAGACAGTCAGTGAAATAATAATTTTATCTTTTATAGAACAAGACTGCTATACAAATAAATGGTTTCACTAGATGTGCTTCAGAAAATTGAGCCATGTGACACGACTCTAGCTACAAATATAAAATGATCCTGAACTACAAATTGCAGAGACCTATTGCAGATATTAATAATAGCTTTAAATACGTTTATTTCATTTAGCAGTTTATATTTAGATAGGGTAAAATATGAAAGGACTCATTCAACAAATGACATTCTGGGTTAAGACTCTAACTAAACCTTTAGGCATTCGAAGAAGAAACAGTAAAATTAGGAGGTAGGGGGTGAAAATGGCTGTTTCAGACTGAGAATTAGTAGCATTTTTCACCTAGTAATATCTTTAAGTAAACATGCCAGCTTTTAATCAACTATTTAAACAGATGCCTTAGGTAAGTTAAAGTGGGGGGGGGGGGGAAATCTAATAGCACTTAGACTTATGTACCGCTTTATAGTGCTTTACAGCCCTCACTAAGCGGTTTACAGAGTCATCCTATTGCCCCCAACAATCTGGGTCCTCATTTTACCCACCT